AAAAAAAAAGCTGAAAGTGGACCATCCATTCTCGAGTTATGCGCCATCTGACGTACGCAAGTTTGGTATAAACATAGAAATATTTATTTTTAATAACAATAGGGGGTTATATTCGATGTAAATAAGCTTGTTTAAATTAAATAATTAAATCAAATTCGTTTTTGTTTTAAAATACCACCATTCACTATTATCCACACGTTTTTATAGAATTTAGCTCCCATTTTAGGAAGTGTGATTGAATTCTTCCCCTTTTTCTTCTGCTTCCAAAAACCATCCCTGTGGGTGGGAGTGCCAAATTTTAGAAAAAAGCTACTTACAAAACCTTTAATAATTGAATCATGTGTAAATACCAGGTACTTTTGAAAGTGACGATCAATAAAAAAAAAACATAAAACAAAAATATACAAAAACAATTTCTCTAAACATGTTTATTCTACTCTATTTCGCTATATTTGCACTTCTTTTACCAGCACGTCGTTCAAATTATAAGTTTTTCGATTTGAGGAAGTTTTGAGTAGATTGATATAAATAAAATTATAGTTTAAAAAACTGAAACCTCGCTGTTATAATTTCAATTCGTACTGTATTCAGGTATGTAACTTGAGAATAGAAATCGCTGCATCTTTTGGGCGCATCAATATTACATAGTTACATCCCGAGCTAATAAAAGGGAGGTAAAAATCTAACTTTTATCTAACTTTTCCTTAAAACTCTCCGTTTCGTTTACATTAGCGACGCTATGAGTAAATTCATTGAAATCTTCTTCAAAAACGGCTCAGACTGCAATTTAAAAGTAAAGTTTCAAGCTTTTTGTTAATTGCAGTCAAAACGGAATTTTACAAAAATCATACTTCAAAATTCATAAACACATTCTTACTATCAATTCGATATTTCAAAATTTTCGAGAGCCCGGGATTAATGCAAGCAAATCCCGGGATTTCCGGGACGTAAAAAACACCGGGATCCCGGGATTTTCATCCCTAATGTGTATGTGTTTACAAATAAGCAAGCAAAATCCCATCGCAATTCGATTAAATTACCGAATAAGCTGAAAATATTTCAGTTTTCGTTATACGGTGTTTACATGAGGAGATTTTACAGGCAACTTTTATTTGAAAGCAAAAATCACCTGGTGTGAACGGCCTTTCAAATACATAATTGCTTGCAATGAAGTTGGGGTGCAGGCAGCTTTTGATTCAATTAATTGCCGCTAAAATTGCTTGGAAAATCGCCGTTTAGTTTCCAATAGCACTTAATCATATGACGATTTTAATTGCTGCTTATTTGAGTACGCCTTTTATTCCGGCTTGACTCGCATCAACTTTAATAATATATCGGGCTCTTATAGAAGCTGTTTAGTAGCACAGTAAACAAGTATTGAATGTGTATTGTGTATGTACATACATTTCCATGTGGGCAGGGACTACATAAATCCCGATAGATATTTTTAGAAATAGCCTAACTGGGTCCTTCGATGCTAATATAATATCCGGCTTACTGAAACGAAATTTGCTGTAAATATTCTAGCTCATAAATATATATATATATATTTTTTTTTTTACTTGCAATTTGTAATCCTACAGTTTTTTTAAGCTCGGGTGCACATATGTAGCACAAACGGACATGTGTATTAAAAAATATGTGTGTACATCCATTTCATTGAGAAGTGGAATTCTTTACCAGTTGCTGTACCTTTTTGTTTATTTCAGCTCTTCAAAATCCACGGGACATCTTAATTCTTCTATTTTTGGGAACACTTTTGCACTTATAATTGCGCATTTTCTTAGCTGCCTCACGCCTCTAATTGCACACTTTGATTTTTTCGTATTTTCTACAAATTTTCTTTTAATTTTTATAGAATTTTGTTTCATTCAAATGCACTATTTTGTTGAAACGATTGTTTGCAAACGCATTTAAACATAAAAACAATAGGAAAAGTTAACAAACGCTACGAAGAGAAGAAAAAATTTTCACTTGACCACTGCAGCACGAATTGCCAACTACACTCTGCGTATATAAACTGCTTTGCCAACAGTAGACGAAAGACGCACTGTTGCCAGCAGCAATTAAAACTAGTCAAAAATATAAGGCAGTGTACACTTAAGGGCCGTTTGTGCATTTCATGTTAAATGAGAGGTAGTTATTAAAACAAAAGAAATAAAAGATTTGATAGGTTATCTGTAAATTCATTATTTAGAAGGTGAATTGACCCTATAGCAAATATTTTTTCTTACTAATAACTTTAATTAGAATTGGATTGTTGCTTTCCATTTGTCACAATTTACTGAAAGACTTTCGATAACTAAAAACCCGTTTCTTTTTCAGGAATTTTAGACAGTGTGAAGCATAATATAACCAATAATCCTGCAATAGTTGAAAATTTACGTTTTTTCCATTTCTGACGGTCTTTTTGCACGATATAGAGAAGACACGGGTGGCACAGGGCTGCCAATTTGGCGCAAAAGGTTCCATTTTTAGCCCTATCTTACCTCAATTGGCACTTAATTTTTCAATTTGGCACATCGAAATGGCACTTCTGAAAATAAGTAGCATTTCAACACATCGTTTGCGTGTACTTTTTTTCTAAGAGCCGAAGGGATCTTTGCGGAACATTAAAGTGAATACGTTCCGAAAGGTAAGGACAGTCAACAGTTCCTTGAATAATGCCCCACACAAAAGTTAAGGAAAGGGCAGTAGGGGAATTCTGACGAAGCGGAGGGGCCTAAAAGTCTTCAACATGGAAGTGTAACAGATGTAAGGTGTGAAAGTATGATGAACATTTAACTAGATGTTGCATGTCGTTAGGCGCGCCGGCTATTATTTTGGAGATTTTTGGCGATCGAAATTAGCGATAGCGAATATTTGAATCCGGCTACAGACCTCTTTTTTCAATGATTTTAGACTAATCAGCACATAGCGAGCGCTATAGGAAGGAAAGGGGTCACAGAAAGGTAAGGAGTGTAAAGCGTATTTAAGGATTTGACAGATATTTGTTTTATGTCATAACAGAAATGTTCATTTTACGTACCTTTCATTAGCCTCAGAAATTTATTGATGTAACAAATTTGTTCACGTTCATACTCAAAAATTGCTGAATGAAAAAAGTCATATATTTCATAGTTTTTTTTTATTGTTAAACAATTAACTTATGTATATTTTAAAATTATTTCAAATAGTTTAACATAAAAAATCTGTCTTCACATGGTATATTAGGCTTTCTTATGTGAGTTTTTGCTAAACCTTATACAATTCAATTTAAATTTGAAGTTAATAATAAAATAGTACCTAATAATAATAAAAAAACCTAACTAAAAGTTTAACGTATATGTTTATTCAAAAATTGCCTTTACTTAATAGTTACCGTTTTGTTCCTTTACTTCACTCTTTTATAATGTAAAGTATTTATGTATGATTCTTTTATCGGTATGAGTAATTGTTTTTTAACTAAAAAAATTATATACACTGGCAATCAATATTTGCTATGTTTTTCAAGTGCTTCATGCTTTAATCTGAAAACTTTCAAACTAAATACAGAACGTAGAAAAATTAAACAAATTTTCATCTAAATTTTGAACTTTTTAATCTGAATTTTCACAAAAATTTTGAGTACTAGCGTTGATGTTTAATGATTTTTTATTGCTGACGGCTTTTTGCACTTTTTACCATATAAAACGAAGTTTCTTGTAGAATAAAATGCACAAGACCGTTTGCAAACAAAAAAAAAAAAAAAAAATTAACACACTTGTTATATTCACAAAACCGCAAAATCCGTCGGAAAACAATTCATTAGAAATCAATGCGGTTTTTTAGCCGCTAAAAGCTTTCACTAGAATTATATAACCAGTCTATCTGCGTACCCAAAATTTTCCTGAAAATTCAGATTAAAAAGCTCAAAATGATGAAAATGTTTAACTTATGTGGTTTCGATTAAAGAAAGAACCATATTTTTATAAAAAACTATTTAAAAAAAAAAAAATCAACTTGAAAAACATTGCAAATACTAAACACTCATGGTGTCTGCACTCACTTTTGATTGCCAATTCCAGAAACTGTATTTGCGTATCTTACGTACATATAAACCTAACTAACTTATTAATTGTGAAGATTTATAAATTCGAAGTTGAATGAAAAAAAGCAGTAAAGGACAATTTAGTAGCCGATAACTTTCGCGCTCTCATTCAAATTAATTGCTCGAAAGCTTTTTTCCCTTGAATCTGCTCTGGATATTAATTTTACACATCATTTACTAGCCATCACTGTATCGATACCGGGTTATGCATTTGTATTCGCGAAATTTCAATTGTGAGAATGAAAATTTCGATGGGTTCTTAAAGAGTTCATAAAAAAAATATTATATTGACAGATTTTTTCACTTTGTTTGTCAATGATTTGCTTATTGTTTATAAGAAATGCATCTGTTTTTAGTTAAATTTGATTTTTGTTCACTATTTTCTGTTTAATATACATTGTTTATTTATGTTTAAATTTCTGTCGTGTCACGAGATTATAAACCAAAAGAAAAAAAAATAATAGTACATACATATGTACATGAAAACAAAATGAACACATTTGTTAGCAGAATAATTTTGTGAGTGAAATTTTATGTGTGCATTTGTTGCTTTTCAGTACGCATCTAACGCTATTATATTTTTCAAAACTTATATTATAATAGTTATTGAACAAAATTTGAATGACAAAAATTTATTTCAAATACAAACAGTGGCGGTCAAAAATGGATGAATGGTGTTCGTTTTTAGTTTACTAAAATTTTTTTCAGGCTTTCATGCTTTAAATTTTATACAGAATTTAGAAAAATTCTATAAATTTTTATTTAAATTTCGAGCTTTTTAACCAAAATTTTTTTGAGCATGCAGTTAACAGGCTTATAAAATTTTAGTAAATTTATTTTTTTTTGCTGAGGGCTTTTTCGGTTTTTTCATATAAAAAGCGAAATTTAGGAAAACTGGCGTTGACTTTTTTTATTTTATTCGCAAAAGTTCTTGCGCATATTCTTCAATAAAAAATTCATGTTTGTATGGAAAAAAAGTTCAAAACGCTTTCAACAAAAAAAAAAAATCATTAAAAATCAATGCGAATTTTATCCGCTCAAAACTTGCACTAATTTTACTAAAATTTTATAATCCTGTTAACTGCATACCCAAAAAATTATATAAAAAAAAATCTGGTTGAAAAGCTCGAAATATAGATAAAAATTTGCGGGTTTTTCTAAGTTCTGTATAAAGTTTGAAAGTGTGATTTTTATGGTTTTTGTTAAAGCAAGCACCATATTTCTATCAAAAAATTATAGCTTGAAAAACATTGTAAATATTAAATACGAAACACCATTCCTCCACTTTTAACCGCCATTGTATGTACATATCGCACATTTGCTGCAAGTGTCATAATCCAAAAAGTCAAAAACTCGAGAAAAACAGCTTTAAAGTTGTGAATTTACATATCGCACGTTTAATAATTTAGAGATGTAATTCAAAATTTTCCTTTTTGGAGATTTCATAAAACAATTAATAAGCTTGATGAGGAGAATACGTTCAGCCTAAGGGTGCGTTCACACAGAAAGCCAAACGGACAAGCCGAACAAAGCGAAGCTGCTGGTGTTCACATGGACTCGGCTGCAAAGATACCACAAAATACCCGTCAATGAAAAGCGGCAGAAATATTTGCTCAATTTTATTCAAAAGATTAATTGTAAAATAAGTTTTTATTTGAGTATTTCGACATCTTGTTTGCAGAAGCGTTATGCAGCTGAAAAATTAAATAGAAAACTCAAAATCAAAAACTGCTTTGCTTTCAGCTCCAAAACGCTTCTGAAAAAGCTTACTGTATGAACATTTTCATATAGCTATAGCAATTTGAAAACTTCACTCCGCTCGGAACGGTTTCGTTTGGCTCGGCTCTGCTTTCTGTGTGAACGTACCCTAACGGATGACTAAACTTCCAAAAATTTCGAAGATATGTGTCTTTCTATCTGTCTTTTGGTATACCAACTGCATGAATTGATCAAACTTTGATTGCGTTTTCCCACAAAATTGAAATTCTGAATTAATTCTGTATATTATTAAACGTGTGATGTGTACATATACTCACATAGGAAAAATTAATACATTTAGTTTTGTTTTTTTGGGTTATGATATATACAGAAGGTTTAAATAATCATACAGTTACTCACAAAGCTCACACGATTTCGTATTGGGATTGGAAATTTCTTTGTGTAGGCCCCAACGGCAATGTGCAGTTGTCCCTGCATGAATATAAAAGTACGTTTCCACGAGCTTCAAATTGGGCAATTTCGATTTTCAATTTCAATTTGAAATTGCAAATATTCACACGACAAATTTCAATTTCAAAACCAATTTCGATCACAGTTGTTTACTTAAGGTGTGCTAACACGATATGTATTTGCATGTGTAAATGCCACTTTTTACATACGCAAATGTCAACATATCATGTAAAGGCAAATTCGATTTGTTTCTGTACAAAGCATATGCACGTACATACGAAATAGAAATGTTTCTATTTTCATCTGACACACAGATAGAATCGTCTGAGTTTAGTTTATTTCGTTTTCATAGAACGTATTTTTAAATAGTTAAATAAAGACTGTGAATTTGACGGGCATACGCAATTACATATGTATTGAAAAAGTCACATTTACAGATGCAAACACCTTAAATAAATAATTTTATTGACGTATAAATCATTCAAAGTAAAAAAACTTCCAAGCCGCTAAGAAAAAATTTATTTTTTTTTTCAATTTCGCCCAAATTGAGACTCAAACTCAATTTTAGCTGACATTTTTTTAATGTTTTTTAATGTTATAAAAAAAATATATTTTTTTAATTCGTGAAAGGAATTAAGTATGTATAACTTAAATCTGTATTTAAGCAAATAACTCTTATATAATTAATACTATAAAATACTTTTTAAAATTTATATTTTTTCAATATAAATTTCTTAAAGTAACAAATTAAAATTAGCGAA